ATATATCACCAGAAATGATAATCATAGTCTAGAATTAGAAATAATACAACTTTTTAACTTATTTCACCTTCGATGAAGAGAAAAAGAACTTTACTTTTTTTTTTATTTGAAGATGAATTGTGATTGTCATTATCTATTGATATAGGAGGTTTAAATATCTCAAGTCATTTATATGATTACATAAAACTTTGTGTTTCAATTTAAAGGTTTCTTGTTTAGAAAATATGTCTTTGTTTATAGAAAGTTAAAAGCATTAAAGGTTTAATAGTTGAGGGTTTAAAAGCATAGAATTTTAGTTGGAGATAGTATATCTGATTTAAAAATAGTTAGAGGTTTAAATATTGTTAATAAGAACCTCACTCAGAGGAGAGAGAAGGTCTCATGGCGAAGCAGCAGCTTCCGACGACTTTCCCACTCCACAGTCACTGCAACGGTGCCGTTTAGCTTCTTCTCTGTGAAAATGCCGCAACCAAATTCCTTCAATCTCTCACCGACGCTTTTTTAGGTTTCCCCCCCCCCCTCTCTCTCAGTCAGCTCTCTGCTTACTCTGTTTCGAACTCAAAAGACTCTTCCTTGCTTCTATGGTTTTAAATCATCACAAACACTTGATTGGTCGTTTTCACTACCGAAAATGTGAGAGTAGAAGCGATTAGGACCAATTATTGCAATAAAGATTTGAGCTTTAACTATAGACAAAAGAAGAGTCTTTGAGTCAATTGGGGCATGTGTTTTTATTAGAAAGAGTCAGTTTTCATGATGTGGGATACCTTTCTTTTCTAAGCTCTATCAGTTTGACTTTATTAAGTTTGGTGGGTCGGCAGGCGATTTTTCACGAAAAAAATGGGGAAGATTCGTGCAAAGTTCACTTTATTGGCTTACTAAATTTTAATCACTTTTTAAGCTACTTTTCTTTCCTTTATATGTCCTGTAAGGTACGGTTAGTATTTGCTTACAAAGACCCCATGATTTGAGAGTTGAGATTTAGTCATCATTGCTTTTTCAGATTCTCTATACAGGAAGATAGTTTTAGTTAAGGAGCTTGTCATCAATGGAGCATTACGAGGTTCTTGAGCAGATTGGGAAAGGGTCCTTTGGGTCTGCTCTTCTTGTGAGGCATAAGCATGAAAAGAAACTGTAAGAAACATTGGTCACTTAGATGGAAACTGGAAAGAGAATATATTTCTGCAATTGATTTTCTGTTGTTTTTTGATGTCTGAAGGTATGTTTTGAAGAAAATTCGGTTGGCTCGACAGACTGGTAGAACAAGAAGATCTGCTCACCAAGAGGTTAATTCTAGGTCTCAATGTGTCACACACACATTTGCATACTAGCTTTCGTGATGACCCTTTGTTGTTTGGGTCGCAAACTCGTATCCCAGTGATCAGTATCAGTAAAATATTTCTTTGCTCTATTAAATTGAAACCTGAACACAGTAAACAGCTATTAGACTGTTAATTAAGCTGGTCACTCAATGCCACTGCAGATGAAAGCTTACTTAGAATATGAGTGTGTGCTGGTGGTTGAATGCCATGATGTTATTGGAATTCAAAGTTTGTGAGTTTTTTATTAACAGTTTCTTGTTTTGTCGTTATAGATGGAACTAATCTCAAAGATACGAAATCCATTTATCGTGGAATACAAAGATTCTTGGGTTGAAAAAGTATGTTCGTTAAGCCTTTATGTTAATTAATTATAGGTTTATTTGTATAGTTATGTGGGTCTCTGGTGTGTGTTTTCAGGGATGCTATGTGTGCATTGTTATAGGCTATTGCAAAGGCGGTGACATGTAAATTGTTGTTTCTTTCTCAGAAAATTTGCCCATTCTTGACTCTGAAGAGGTTTCTGATACATTGTTTCCTCTCCACTACAGGGCAGAAGCAATAAAGAAAGCTAACGGCGTAGGATTCTCTGAAGAGGTGTTTACACACGTCTGATTTAACGTCTTATTTCTGGAAGGCTTTAGATTAGTACAGAAAGTTCTTAGTCACTCTTCTTTCTTTGTTTCAGAAACTCTGCAAGTGGCTTGTACAACTGTTGATGGCTCTTGAATACCTGCACGCCAATCACATTCTCCATCGCGATGTCAAGGTTGATTCTTATGTCTGGTCCGGAGTATTACACAAACTATTGATAATCTCTGTGTTCAAAAGTTTCTAATACAAAATCTACTGGTTTCATTCCAGTGTTCAAACATATTCTTGACAAAGGATCATGATATACGTCTAGGTAAAGATGCTTAGCAAGTTCTCTCCTCTTTTTTTCCGAATCGTGTTAGTAATAAGTTGAGTTTAATAACTTCTGCAGGTGATTTTGGACTTGCCAAGGTCTTGACATCAGATGACCTTGCTTCTTCAGTAAGTAGAGACTTCGTACTTTTTCCATGTTTTGGTTTTTGGTCCCAGACACTGTGAAGTGATTTGTTTTGTAAACCAGGTGGTCGGAACGCCAAGCTATATGTGCCCTGAGCTTCTTGCTGATATTCCCTACGGATCAAAGTCTGATATTTGGTCGTTGGGCAAGTTTCTCATCTATGGCTAAGATACTAAGCAGTAGTGATTAATCTGAGTATTCTTCTTTTCGATTTCATTCAGGATGTTGTATATATGAGATGACGTCTCTGAAACCGGCATTCAAAGCCTTTGTAATTTCTCTCCATCCACACCATCAAGATCATATTCTTATGTTCTTGATTCTGATACTCATTACAACTTTCTGCATTTTTTAGGACATGCAAGGACTGATCAACAGGATAAACAGATCGATCGTTGCTCCACTTCCTGTGCGATATTCTACTGGCTTGTAAGTATATATTCTCTTATTTGTAACGTGAATCGCGCAACAACTTCTATATGATTTGTGTTCCTGCTTTTTCCAGTCGAGGTCTGGTTAAAAGCATGCTCAGGAAGAATCCAGAACTCAGACCAAGCGTATGCACAACTCTGTGGCATTTTGTGATCGTTTAAGCTGAGCTGTACAAACCTGAAGAGTAATATTTCCTCTTCTTCTGTGTAGGCTTCTGATCTTCTCAGACACCCGCTGCTTCAGCCTTACGTCCAAAAGGTTCTTCTCAAGCTGAGCTACCGGGGACACGATACATTGCCAGAATCTGAACCCGCAAGAAGAAGCAGCTATCCTGAGCAGAGAAGGCGTTCTTCTGGCAAATGCATAAGCTTTGGTCCAAGCAAGTTCATGGTTGATCAGGAAGACTCTGTGTCTTCTGTTAAACCAGTGCACACGTATTTGCACCGTCGCATGCCAGTGGATTTGTCTGCTAATGACAATGGTAGAGTAACTGTTCGTAGAGCCGCTGTTTCAAAAGGGGTTTCTTACAGTTCAAAGTATGTGCCAGGGAGATCAAGCCTGCCTAAGAGTGGTGGTCTGGTAAGTCATTTGTCCAGATACACTCCTTATCTTACTAATTGCTGGTTCAGTCTTTATATATTTTTCTGTCTGATGTGTCAGAAACAAGCTGCAACGATTCGTAGGGCGTCCTTGCCTGTCTCACATAAACCTGCAAAAGGAACAAGAGACTCTCTGTACACCCCAAACATAGGTATACTCCATCAGCTAAACTCACCAGATGTGTCTGTAAACTCTCCAAGAATCGACACCATCAAGTTCCCACTAGCTTCATATGAAGAAATGCCTTTCACTCCCGTTGTGCGTAAGAAGAATAAAGGCTCCTCCAGAGGATCATACAGCCCGCCTCCAGAGCAACCTCTAGACTGTTCAATCACAAAAGACAAGTTCACGCTTGAACCAGATCGAGAAACCAAGAGCGATTTGTCTGATCAGAATGCAACTGCTGGAGCATCAAGCAGAGATTCTTCAGGTGCATCAAGAAGACAAAGGTTTGACCCTAGCTCATATAGACAACGTGCTGAGGCACTTGAGGGACTGCTTGAATTCAGCGCAAGATTGCTTCTAGACGAGAGGTATGATGAGCTGAACGTGTTACTGAAACCGTTTGGTCCAGGAAAGGTGTCGCCTAGAGAAACTGCGATATGGTTGTCTAAGAGCTACAAGGAAGCTAGTTCTAGTAAGCAGTAAAGGTTAAGATTCAGAGTGTAGCAAGCAGGAATGTTTAGAAAAAAAACAAGGTTCTAAGTCTTTTTTTTTAACTTTTTGAGGGCATTGATGCTTCTTCTTCCACGATTTGGTAGAAATTGTTTGACTCTTAGGCTGTGTTCTTTGAAGCTAACCCTTGTATCTGATATTAAAAAACATACAGCTTTCTGTTATCTCTGTAATCTTTATTCCAATCAGAACTTATGAACCACATAGTTAATGTAATATTGTAGTATAAATTGCAGTTCGAGTACTTACATAGATGGTGTCTTCAACAGGGAGAAACTCTCTGAATCGCCATTGTTGTTTAAACAAGAAGATATGAAGCGTAAGAGCTTTACTTTCCGGCCATTGTTGTTTAAACAAGAAGATGTAAATCAGTTTTCATAATTGTTTATGCCACAAAGAACCCAATCCTCAAGTAAACCGAACAAAAAAAATTGATGAGAAGAACATTTTTTGATGTTCCTCGTTGACTTATTGACAGATGGTCTGTTGATTCATCTTTGGTTAATAGTTAGTTCATACGTCGTGATTTAGTGTTAATCCGCCATTGATCAGCTAACAAAAGGCAGGAACAAAGAGGACAGAAACGCAACTGTGTCCCCAGAGCTTCACTGTCTCTGGCTGCAGTACACAAAGATTACAAGCTAAAAGCTCCTGCCAAACTCCAGCTAATGTCTTCCGCATTACGAAGCTTGAACCTCTGATAGCACGCAACACACTTTTCCTCAAAATACGCATAACCTATGATACTAGCTTAACACTTATCTGTTCTTACTTTCAAATCATGAAATGGAACAGTAGTGTAGTGTTGTTACGTTTGAACGATTTATTACGACAGTTTAACTGTTATACAAAAGAATCATTTCAAAATAAACCTAATAACCATACAAAAACTTGCAAGACAGTTTCTGCAACTCAATCATTCATCAGACTTTACGTTGAGTATCCCTATCAATACGCTCAACGTACATTGGAAGACGAACAATCTCTTTAATCTCATCCAGCAAAACCTCCTTAGTTATATCATCATTAATAGATTTCATCACACCACGAAAAGTTCCCATGCCATTTGGTCGAGACTTATCAACTCTAACCCTCATAGGCACCCATACTTTATCCTCTTTATCCCAGAAACACTCCAAAAGCTTCCCAGAGTAACAACCCGGGTGGTCCCAACCACCACCTCTAAACTCAACCGTGTGTCCATTCATAAGCTTTTTCCTCCCGTTTTCATACAAGAACAGCATGTAACGCCCATCTCTACCCACTTCAAATAAAAAGTCAATAGTGTCTTGAAACTTCCACTTGAATAAGCCTTGGTTTCTCTGGTAAACATAAGGGTCGTCCCAACCTTGAAGTATAATCCCATCGGACTCATGTGAAAGCTTAGGTATCAGCTCGTTGAACACCTTCTTCTCCAAAGCAGAGAGTATACAAAACGCTTTTATACGTACCCCAAAAGGCTCCATCTCGTATCTGTACCAATGGTTTGTAACCTTCTTCTCATCGTTACGAGGTCTCATCACTTCTCTATCGACAATGCTCCATCTTTCACTAAAAGGACGGTCAGCTACTGATACACCGTTAACTGCCACCATGTCATAGACAAGATACCTCCTCGCCTGACAAGGCCTTCCTTGTCCGTCTACAAAGTTATCTACAACCATCTCTCCATCAAGCAAAGTGTAGTCATGCACTTTAGGCTCGTGAGGCCTACAAGGGAAACGCATCTGTACTCTTCTGAATCTGAAATTCCTGTCTATCAAATAACATCCTTCTCTAGTCAAGAGCATCATGTAACGTGTCCCATCTGCTTTCCACGTCGCGTAATAGTACCTCTGCCTCAAGAGTTGAAGCCCTTCCCTGTCTAAAGATACAGGATGCGAACCAGGAAACTGCAAAGGTTTTCCATCTATCTTAACATTCATCATCTTATAACAAAACTCCTGGTAACACTTCTCTTGACTGTAAGGTATCTCATCTCCCAAAACGTCATCAATTGACATCTTCTTGATCACTTTCACTTCCTCTTGTAGTGAAGGGACACACGGTGATAAAGACTCGTCTTCAGACCTCTTCCACTCAGGTGTTTGTGGACAAACAGCACTCTCTGGCTTTACTTCGTGATAGAAACTGTAAAGAGCATCAATGTAATCCGCTTTGTATATCCCTGGAGGACGAGCATCATAAAACGTTTTAAGAGCCTGTGTAACACTCATCATAGGCCTAGACCGCATAAGGTAATGAACAATCATGAAGCCTGTACGGTTATGACCATGCGTACAGTGAACGAGAAGCTTCTTAGGGAAGTTATGTCTCTCAAACTGATTCACCTCGTGGACAAAAGTGTTTACGGAGACGTTATCAGGGACAGAGTCACGACCACTGCAACGAATCTTAACGTACTCGATCCTCTCCCTTCTTAACTCTGTGCTAGGGTTATAGTAACGAGTCGTGTTGGTGAGATCAATCACTAGACCAAGCTTCTTAGGTCCGTTACTTAACCAATATTTGAAAGAGTATCTTTTGTCGGGAGGGAGATGGTCGTTGTAAGATTCGCTGAGAGGGACTTTTGAAGGGATGATAAAACCGCCGATCTCTTTACCGAAACTAGGACAATCTAGCCAACCATGAGGGATAGAGTTCGTGTTTTGGTATTGATCACGATGGTAATGTCTCGATCTTTTGCTATGTTCTTCAGAAGGGTTTTCGAGATGTCTCTTGCGTGGCAAGTAACTACTTCTTCCGGATTCTTCTGAGTACATCGTAGTAATCATTTTTTTTTTCTCTAAAGGGCAAAACAAGAAGACATGAAGTCTCTGTTTTCAACTTTAATTGTCTCTCTGTCTACAAAACTGAATCCATCGTCTTCTGTATTTGTCTGATTTCGCGAAGAAAGAGAAACCTTGGAGGTGATTGAAGATGTTGCGATCGAAAGTTCGAAAAGACTAACTCGCGATTGTGAAGAAGAATAGATTGTAAGGAGAAGGGTCGTCTTGTATTTATAGACACGCACAAGTCTTAGGGTTGGTCATATTATATGAGCGATGGACTTGGGCTAATTTCATTAATGGGCTTTTATTATTTAGCCCGTATAACTATAGAGGAGCGTGTTTGGGTGGGGACCACATGGGCATGTTTAAAACAATGTGATGATGTCACAAAAGAATGTTGCAGTAACACAAAAGAGACACTCTTCCCTCTCACTTTTGCTCTTTTTATGGTAACTTCTTCTGGTGACCAAAAATGACAGAGGACATTAAAACGGCAGGCAGTTGCAGAGATTCTCTGTTAAACTGACTGCAGTTTTGAATTTGGCATATAAAGCTGCTTGCTTGCTTCCTCTCCACATAAAGTTCTCTGTGACACTGACAACACAGATCTTTTGAAGTCTCTTTATTTGTAGAATCTCCCTCTTACGAAGACATGATTTTCTACAAATGGCAATTCACATTTTTCTCAGGCTAACATCAGACTTGTTTAAATTGGTACTAAAATTTTTCAAGAACCAAAATGAAAAAGCTTTAAACAAGTACTGTGGTCATATTAAACTAATTCATTTAAGAGCTAAGGTAAAGCTGACACAATAATAGCATTTTTCTTTTGAAATGTTTAAAGAACAGACTTTGAATGAACACTGAACTTGGACTCTCTCTCCATGTAAAAGCTAAGAAACATCTAGCTTACTATTCTTTATGAGGCCATCTGTTATTAGAAAGAAGGTAAGTAAAAGTTTGCTAAGCATCTAAAAAGTTCACAACCTACAAAGTACAAATCAAAGAGCAGCGTAAATAAGCTAACAAAGAAACAGCAGAGGATCAACTTGACGAAAGACTGCAAAGCATAACAGTTTCTATACGACATAAGTAACTAATATAGACAGAGATGGCGTTGGTCAAGACTGATCAGGTTCCAGCATTGTGTAATGAATATTATATTTGCAGAAATCAACTCATTCATCACGCTATAAGTAACAAATGTCGATAAGGAATCAACAGATTCTTTTAAGGTTTTTTGTTAGCACCAAGTAAAAACTCTCTCACTCTCTAGTCGTTCTTCCAAGCATACAGAATCAAAGAAAAACCAAAACTTTGAGACTTGGAGTTTGTTGTTGCCATAATGTCCTGTGAGAAAGACAAGCTCTTCTCCGTAGAAGACTGACAAGTCCTGAACATGAACACTGCGTTTCCCGCTGAAGGCATCCCAAAGAGCCAACTATGAACATCCCACAGAACTTCCACAGCCATTCTATTCACAACTATTGTATCGTTGCCACGAAACTTCCACTTAAGCCGCTTCACCTGCAACAACGTCTTCCCATCCACACGAACAACGAGACACGGATCAGTAACACTCGTGTCACATTCAATGACAAGATCATGGGTTTTCCCATCAGCACAAAGCTGAGCTTTTGTCGCAAACGCTCTCTTACCAAAGACATGCTCTTTCTTGGCGCTGAACACCGCACCTAGAGACGAAGGTGAAGAAGCGTTGGTCTTCTTGAAAGCTTCTTTTTTCATATCACCAAGAAGCAGAACCATCTCTTTGTCCACAACAACACCCACATAGAATCCTCCCAAAGCTTCAGGTCCTGATCCGAATTTCGCTGAAGATAGATCCCAAAAAACATCGATCTTACAAGAATACGCCTCTAAGCTTTTCGACCCTTTACGTTTGGTGAACAGCCAGGGCTTAATCTCGACTTTACAAAGACTCTGGTTACAAGAATCGTCAACACCAACGGTAACACTCTGACCCATCAGACTCTTGGTCCACGTCACAGTGATCAAGCAGTTCCTCCCTCGAATACGGCACTGGTAGACGCAAGTGACTAGATTCTGAGCGTTTTTACCGGAGT